AGTAAGGGTTTCTGTTCATCTACAAAGATGTAATTCGTATGAAAAACTGACAAAGAGTTTACTTTAGATATCAGAATTAAGCCATAAATTATACAACTTAAGGGCACACTGAGAAATAAACTATGTAGTCTGCAAAGATTTTTCCACACAGCCTCAATCATGTCTATTGTTTGAAATATAATTTCAAAATATTACAATCTTCCAAGAGATACGCATTCTTTACATCAAGAAAGTAAATTAACTATTTTCAACATCACTTTTTAAACCACCCTATTATTAATATGACTACATTTCTTAACATAGCCACAGCAAAAATTATTTCAGCATCTCAAAAAAAAAACCATTAGGAAACTCTTGGATAATTTCTTATACAGAAACACCAATTTGGGTACATACACCATACAAAGTTGACAGTTAATCTTTCAGAAAAATAACAGCCTACTTGTGAGTCTAAAAAATAAGATAAGTCAAATTCACCTTTTGGCTACTGATATAATATTAAAATTTTGTACTTCAGAATTTCAATTATTTTGCTGCAGCTGTTCATTTGAACACACTGCACTGGACATCAACAAACCATACCCAGGTTGCGGGAAATGGGAGCTGTATGAGTTATCTCAAACAACTAAAGTACTAATGACTCATTAAAAGTTAAAGCTTCTGGTGAAAAAAGCAAATATCTATACCCAAATACTTCTTTGCGTGTCATTTGAACACAACAACTGCAATATTCCTCTTAACAGGAAAATATGGATACAAAATAATAATGTCCAAGCAATCACAAATGCGATAAGAAAAAAAAAGAAAAGGAGGCTGGCACTTCAACTATGTAGCTATCGACGACAAATATTGAGAGATCATTTTAACCCTAATTAAACCATACATTAAATCAAGACGAAACATATCCAAGAGGCAGGTGGCTTTGAAGCAAGACATTGAATTCAGAAACTGACGAGGTTTCTTCTGCAATAAGTGTTTTCATTAGCAAAATTGCTCCAAAATTATCTGTGGGTAAAAATACGTGTATAACTTAAATCTATGTGCATCCCTCTTTTGAATTATATTGCCCTACATCCTGAACACTGGTACACGTAACATGTACCAAATATTGGACTTCTGAAAAAAGATATCATTAACCACTAAATTTATGCTGTGGTTTTGGAGGACATTACGTCAGTAGTGAATTACAGTTGTATAACTCTTTCGGAAAAACCAAACCCTGACTGACAATGACTTTGCAGATGTTTCATTTCTGTGGCATTTCTGATTCATAAATTTTAAGTTCATATATATCATGATATGAGGTCAAGTTATAGACTGTCACAAGTGATTTAGTATGGAACTCATGACAGGCTCATTTATGCTGACATTGAAACTTAAACATCACAAAGTTAGCAGTAGGAAAGTAAAGCAAGTGAATACATTCACAGAGGGGGCCAAAATCTCAAACAATCATATCTCTTGCCACATCAACCAAAGATTTATTCCAACTGTGAAAAGTTTAAAAATTTTCTTTCGACAAAGACATTGCCTGAAATTAATTACACCTAATTGTGATGGAAGACACCAGTTGCTGCGGGCAAATATTTGCGATTAGACTTAAGATAACGGTAATTTCACGAAACTTCTTTGTTTAGTTTGGTATGATTTGCCATAATCACACGGCCCGTCCTTTCGGTCGATTTCTCTACAAAAGCGTTATTCATCCCTTGCCGCCTGATTTGTTGTAAGTCGTATTCCGAATATTAGCTGTCTGTTGTTTCGATGTTTATCCAAAAATATACAAGTGCTAACTTCGTACAAGGAGGTTAAAACATCAAAATAAATTACGAAGTTCATTTGGCTTTATAATTCAGACCCTATTTTCCTGAAAATGAAGCTTAAGCGATCAAAAATTTTCATGAATTTTGACATCCAAAAAATGTTGAAAAGAGCTTTAGTAATTATGCGTTTGGCTCTTCGCTAATTTAATGAACGTCGTAGTATGGAATGGTTAATTGTCCAAGTGTAGAAAAAAATTTAACCGAAATATTGTCATTTAGTAAATTAATTTGGCAAGGTAGACAAACTTGACATGGAATGAAGAAAATACACAAATCGACGTTCAAAAAAATATACAGGCGGCTTATTAGTCGGGCATTCCAGAAACCATCACCAGTTCAAAGATGGTATGATTTCGATTAATAAGATAGCAAATCAAGCTCACAGCAAGTAAATTAATCGCAGTTACATTGCAAAAAAGATGTCACAACTGTTGAAAGATTTTATTTGCGATAAATCCAAGTTATGAGTTATTACGTTTGGGAGAAGTCACCGACAAACGTAAAGCGGATTTGTGAAGCACGAAATATCTATTACAAAACACTTAATCAAACGTGTTTGAAGTGTAGGACTTAACTTATTTTTCAATTTTTACGGTTTTATTAACACGTACAACATAATAAGAGACAAAGTTTAGAGAGCAATCGCAAAGATCACGATTAAGAGCAGCAATCCCACGGGAAGTCGTGTGTTTTGGCGGCTCCCATGAAGATTCCGGAAACGATCAAAGACTCTCACGACCAGCCATGCGATCTAAATATTCACACCCGCAAAAAGAGTACATTTATTTATTGTCTAAACTTCACATGATATTACAAAAACACTTAAAAGCTGACTCACCGTATTTGCTAGTTCCAAGAAGTTACTTGAACGGGACTGTCCCTTTGAATTCGCCACAGACATGATTTGCTGTAGAGTGGGATCGCCGTTCAAATCATGAGCACCGCTATCTATTTCCCAGCTTTCTTTACCGCTTGTCTTGTCGTTCAATTTCTTTGCACTCATTTCGTCGATGGTGTTATTTGCTGTCACTTTTGACTTTTCATGTCCTTTTGCAACGTGCTGCCGTAGATTTTCCAGAGAAACTAGTCCATCACTCCTCTCAGATCCCAATTGAGAGATGATGTCCCTTACGCTGTTGTCCTCCAAACCAAGTTGCTTACATGTTAACGAGATATCAGGACTGCAAACGATTCAAAACAGACACAACATGAAGACAAATAAACTCCCGGTAAGCCACCAAACAGCAGTAAAATGATTAAACAAAAATCTGCTGTGACAAGTATACAAGACAATGTTATGCTATATGAAATAAGTCGCTTGGGTGTCACGAAAACCTGAGATTCACTGACCCGAAACCAAACCACGCTAACACCAGTTTCCCGCGTGATTAAGCTTAAATGAACAAGAATTTTAAGACTTTACATCCTTCAGATACAACAGCATACCTTTCAAGATAGCCACTGACCCGACCGTCTCTTGTACTTAGAATCTTTCGAATGCTTTCCTCTAAACTTTCTGTCGAAGTTCGCCTCGAACTCGCCGATGAAATTGAAACGGACAACCCATTCTCGTTGTCGCTCATAGCAATCCTTTTCACTTTCGTCTCGCTAAAACTTTTCTTCGAATCTTCCTTACGCTCTGAGGGTGATCTAACCCATTGATTATCAACTATTTATACACAAATGAAGACAACAGCGAAAAAACCCTTTTGTGATTATGGTGGTGAACTTTTCTGAATTGCGGGATGTCGGAAGCTGATTGGTTACCTAGCTTACGGCAAGGTTTGGGTTTTCCACTCTCCGGGGTGGATACGGGGCTTCTATAAATCGTATTTCTGTGCGCTGAAATCCGTCTTTCATGATGCATTACTTACAAAAAGTGATTAAGTTATCAATCAATTCTATCAAATGCTACATTCTGAAATCTCGAGAAGTATGAAGTCTCATCAATAGAGCAATTTTCCGTTACATGTAGGAAAAAGACCAAATCATCTTCTGACCCTACCCTGTTTGCGTACAGGAAGCCACCATGTTTCCGTTTATTTCGTAACATTTGTAATACTTGTCTGTTTATGAATGAAATCAGCTGGTTTCTTTTAGACAAGTTTCGTTCACTATTGTTTAGATTAAATTAATTCATACCTTCAGCCGGCACATTTAATATGAAGCAATACTCGCGATTAGGGTTGCAAATGTCTTTAGTTTGTCCTTTCAGTACATGTAAACAAACAGCCTCATCTTGGGTGATCGAAACTCTTATACATTTTGATAATTATTTTCTTCGTACTTTGTTACTCTTACATCTTAAACACAAATTAAACTAGAAAGGTAAAATAGTTTTAAGGTCACATTAGATGTTTTGTAAATAAAACCGGAGCTTTTGTCTTCAACCGATTGAGGAATAGGACTTTGAAATTCTCCTTAGATGTACGTCTCCACGCTAAAATGTAAAAAAGGCCTTTATATCAATTCATTACAATTCTGAAGTGTTTACCGTAATGAGGATTATCGCTATGATTAGAACCGACTTGAGTGTTATTTTTAACCGTTTTTTAGTAACTTAATTTACATCGAATGTTGGCAAATGTTACATTTAAAATGTTACATTGCAAATGTTGCATGGCAAATGTTACATCTTTTAGATTGAGCTCTTTATTTTTAGCTCGGTTTTAATGTTTTGTCTGATGTGAGGATTATCTCTCATCAGGTGATAAGACAGAGTAAAAACATGATAAGTTGGGGTATGACTTCAGGTACCATGGTTTTGACAAAAAATATTTACTTGCAATACTATATCGTAACGAAATGCTATAAAAACGTTTTACGAAAACAGCATCAACGAAAACGCAAACTTTGTGAAAGGCGATAAAAATAAGGTTATATTGAGTAAAATCTTGTAAAAAAAAGCCGCACAACCTACATCTCATATCACGAGACAGTCATACCACGATTAAATGAAATTTCAACCAAGTTTTGAGCAGTATGAAATTGCCCTGAAAAGTGGAAACCTTTCAAAAGTCTAACAAATCTATCCTGTCATAATTAAAGTTTTTTGATATCGAAGATCACGCTGCATTATGCCTGACTGGTGCAAAAAGACGTCTTTCCTTTCGTATAGCAAATGACTTAATATATGAAATGAAAGGGAAAGGCAGAAGAAAAGAAATCGAAATTTAGCAATAGTACCAAGATTATTTTTTCCTGGTCCTGTTCAAAGATTCTTCTTTCATCCCCTTTTCACTTCAGAGAGTAAATGGGGGCAGCATTGAAAGTCATGATTTTTTCAGTTTATAAGCTAAGCGACGTAATCCAACTTTATTACATAACTGCACGTGTTAATCGGTATGGCTGAGAAGTATGCAGTGAGACCCCAAATTGAGGAGTACTCGACCTGTAACAACATACAAAAGAAAAGAGGTAGTCGAAACATTTTTTAAAACTCCGAAACGGCAAATTTTTCCATTTGTTGTTTTTTACAGTTTTTTCTACAATCTTTAAAAAATTTCGTGTAAGTTCAAGCTCGTTAGGACAATTACGTATTCTCAGAATAAGAAACAACAGGTAGACATGCATCGGCAAGATTGCACCATCTCAAATTGTTATTCATTGAGGATGGAAATAGCGCAAGCTTTCATGTTTGAATTGAAGGTTCCCAAAATTTAGCTGCAAAATTGATGAAGCGAAGGGCTGATTTAAAAATTTGTCTGCTCGACGAGCCACTCTGGAATAGTGACACCTAACCATTTAACTGAAGTGAAAATCTTTTAGGGGTGTCAATACCTGGGTTGAGGCAGGCCGTTAAAATCCACAGGCGATAACTTATCCACGCCTCCCTCATTGCTTGGCCATCCAAGCTTGGAGGAAAGTTCAACTGATGTCAAGTACATTGCGTAAGTCGAACGTTGTTCGATCAACTGTTAAATGCGGGAAGCGTCGAGGACAATTAGTTATTCAGGCGGCTTAAAACCTTTCGAATTAAATATTTGTGGGAATTTTTCAGCCATACCACTCTAAAATAACCTCTCTCTCGCCCCTTGAACTCTGTAAACCCAACTAGACCTTTCACTTCCGCTCTAACGAAGATCTGAAGCGAGACGCCCTTTGGGGCTTTAGCTCCCACAAATAAACAGTTTCACCATTCGCTATAGTCCAATCTTTGGTGCGCATGCACTGCACTCCCTTCGGCCGTTGTCTTTGTGTTGTGTCATTGAGAAAGCCGCTTTCCTGTCACCGTACTTCTCTCCATTATGGAGTACAAAGCTGTAGCCATAAATTTGGAGGGGGGGGGAGCAGGGAAGGGGAAAGAAAGAGGGGCTAGCCTGTGATGGACTACCATCTCATAAAATGAAAGTGATGAAAGTGATGGCATTGCACCTTCCAAGCTGCATGAAATGGTACCGGAAATTTGAAGGGGCACCTATTTTATTAAGTCTCGTATGCGGACGTCATTCTTATATAACAAGATTATGCTTTTTGATCTGCTTCTTTTAAGCCCTGGCTTAAAGTCGATCTTTCTCCAGTGAAGCAAAACAAAAAACAAAACAAAAAAAAAGACTCGGTGCCAATCCGTAGTATTGTTGGGGGTTTGAAGTAATTGACTTCGTTTCCAGCGTCAGTTGCGTTTTTAAGGTAAAGCATGCTCCTGAGATCATAGCTTTTTTTATCTCCGAAAATAAAATGTATATGCTGACCTCCTTTTAAAACTCTAAATAGTAACCTAGCCTCTTTAAAATTGTCCTCAAATGTTCAGACTCCGCCATTTTTAATCGTTATTGGTAATCAGGCCTTTTTCTCTTGTTCACTCTTCATTTTTTGGCGATCAGTTAGAATCATTAGGAGTTGCAAATAAAGTAATTCAGTCTTGCGAGCTGTGTCACGTAGTTTGTGAGAGCACCAAGCTTGCTAAGTTGGTTTTAATATGGCGAAGTCTATAACCGAATTTTGGCACATATGAAACTATGTCGGAACCATGAAAATTTAACGGTTTCCGGAAAGAGATTATAATCTATTGGTTTCTGCAGGTTTCCGGAGCATATTTCCCTCTGAAATCCAATGAAAATTCCCTGGGAACAAGGTTAAAGCAGAAAGAAATCGAGTCCCAGACTTTGATGTTTTTCGTGTCTTACTTGTTCCTTCAATTTCATCGGAGCTCGGTATGACTGAAAACGAAAAATTGCCTTATTGAAAAGCATGTGCTTTAGGAGTAAGAAAAATTTTTAGCGGAAAATAGAACTAAGCTCATTTAGGTAACCATATCAGTCAGCTTCATTCAATTCGTAAGATGATATCTTTCGGCATGATACGTTTTGGTGCAAATATTAGCCATGGGTATTCATGGGTATTTGAAGATCAGAACCAAAGCTGTCATTGTCTCTTTTTATTTGTTTTTGTTTTTTATCTGTTCTATTTCCGTTTTTTTTTTTCGCTTTGTTTTCTTTTTTAATTCTATGGTGTTGTTTCCACATTCATTTTCTTACTTTTATTAGCAGTTTTGTTGGAAAAGACCCTATATGATTTCGAGAGGTCTCAGACGTCTAACCTATGCGACTACTGGTTAAGGTTCACGTGAGGTTGTAACAGGAACATTCGTGATGTCATAATCCTTCCGTGTCTTTGAAACTGACCACTCAAACTTCTACTAGGTATTAACCACATTCCATGTAACGTATAAAGAGCCAGAAAAAAAAAAAGAGAATTGAATCGTCAACTTATTGATTGATTTAACAAGCATCATAGGGGGAAACACAACACTTATGCAAATAGTTTATTTTAAGCTCCTAATTCCCAATTTAGATTGGCGACAGTAAAAAAATTTAAGCAATTCCTCGTTCGAAAATAATTTCAATTTTGATGTCCTTTTTCAGCTCAATGAACACACTGTTATGGTTGTTTCTGAAGGAGATGAGAGATATTGCTGATTTTTATGGTGTTATTATCCCACGATTAAATCATAGGTAAAACAGTTTTGTTGAAAATCTTCGAAGGAGGACATATCATGTAAATAAAAACAGTTTTTTCCCAGTCGGTCCACGGACTGTGAGTATAAATTCCATGGTTGTATAGAGACCTTGTTTCGTTTGCTCTAATGCATTCGGATGAGCAAAAGGGTTGGTGAATAAGAACGATTCTTCTCCAACAAATGGGAGAGTAAAGATTCATGTGCTCGCAGTTGTTTACATAACCGTTTGACGAAATCGTCGGCATTTATTGTCAGTGGGTGACATTTTACGGTTTTTCCTTAAAGATCTTTTTTATGAAAGAAAATTAAGCGAAAACAGGGGTGGATTTTGCTGGCCGCGTTTGCATCTAGCGTGGTCTCAAATATATCCAATGAAATAGTCATACCTGGATTGCGAAGTCTTTGGTCGACTCGTCCGGCCTGAAGCACACGAAAAAGTCGATTTAAGTCTGGCAACTGCTTGCCCTACTCTTGAACTCATGGCATGGGAGTTTTACAGAGATGTACTTATCCGATATAGAAATTTCGCAGATGTATTATCAGTTGGGCTATTAGATCCAGCTTTACCACTGTGTCAAATACAATTACCATTACCACAATACTGAAAGGCTGTAATTCAGCTAGGTAAAGACAGCTATAAGATGGCGTATATCATGTGATAGATACATGCTACTCAGCTGGCTGTGGAGAGGTGTAAATGGTTTCCTAAACCGCCCGTGATAGTTGTAGTCTAAAATGACCGAACCTCTCAGTTGAAGGCTCTTAGAACTTCATACGAGCCAAACATCTCGCAAATAAATTGGATTTCTGGGGATTTATCCGCGGGAGGCAAATAAAGTCACGATTTACCCAGAGACGTCCCGTAAATGTATACTTTTGTGGTTTTGAACTCCTCAGCTTCTAGACAATTTCCCTTTCTTCTGGCCTTTGAAATATGTGTTAGGTTGAATATTTCACACCTTGGCAAAGTGAATTGTGAGTCTTCAGAGTGAACATTCTTTTTTACCACACTCAAACGGCTCTGTCCTTTCTCGCATCGCCGCATTGTTAGTATTATCAAGAAAGGATTAAAGGAAAATCGCTCTCAATAAAAAAAAAATGATTTAAACCGATTAACACTGATCTCTAATCCCATGAAAATAAAAATTCTGGAAACACTTATGCTGTTTCAAATATCTGCTTCTGAGTTCCTTCGAGTACCAAGAGGCATCATCGACATTACTGCAAGCATAGACATTTCTTAGCTCACTTATCGAAGCCCAAGTAAAATTGTAAGCCAAACACCAGACAAACCAACGAAAGGCGTAGTGTAACTATCAAATCAGCTGATAAGCTTATCTATCCAGTCAATTCGTAAATGACAAACATAGCTTACCTTTGTATATCCGGTTGTGCATGCCTTGTTTATGATTGGAAACATTCGATAATCTAATTGTTATATCTGTCTAGATGTAAGACCTTTAACGGTCTTACGGCACGAGATTTCCTGCTGCACGCGAACATATCCTCGTGCCACTTACGTCCTAGGCTCCCAGCCACCAACATCACAAGACAAATTACATTGAGACTTGCGCGATGTTGTTCAGCTAGGAAGAAATAAGGCACGTCTGTTTTTGTTTCTCGTGAATCTCGACTTTTGATTATATAGTTCCTTTTAGAAACTGCGGGGGCGTTTTTGGCTTCCCCCGCTTTTCTTCCCTTCCTTTTCGATTTCCGTTTTTCTCACTTTCAAATGAAGAAAAAGGCTAAAGAATTGTCTCGTGAATACCAAATAAGAAGAGGACAAAGTTATAAAAATCATTGAAATGGAGAAGTTCAGTCAATTTCGACAACCGGTGATTAACTTTGTGGTTAATCATCAGGTGATCAACAGCTATTGAAATTTGGAATAGAAAAAAGACACTTCAAATTTCAGGCGATAGCACGTACGTCACGACAGATTTCCGTGACAAACATAAAAACAGGATGGGCGCGTCTTTTGTATAACAGGATCTGGTATAAGAGCCGACTGTTAACTTTGGACACAGAATGTAAATAGTGGAACGTTCGCGTCTGGAGAATATACGAGATTCTTGACTTCTCAGTTACGATTCAATCACAGCGTTTCTTTAAATAAATTACATTTAGGATTTAAATACAAGACTCTTGCTCACTGATCGCAATTGTGTAAAAAGAGATTACGAATTTGTTTTTTTAAGGAAATGCAAAACATTCTTTAGTTTTCCTTTTGCTCGGGTCTAATGAATACTCACCAGAAGTCGCTTCACGTTAAATTTTTTTTATTCAACGCTTTCTTGTACCCCTCGGTCTTAAATTGATGATAACCCCAAAAGATTTTAATGTCTTAAATATTTGAAGAGACAGCCATACGAAATTTATACTGAAGACTACAATAAGAAGATCTTTAAACAATAACTGGATACCTCATTTTCAGTTGTTCTTGTAAGTTCTGTCTTCGGAAGACAGTGGTCAGTTAATACGAATCACTGCATCTTTCAACATCACATGATTAAACAATTTGTCTAATCCGTGATATAAGGTGTTTTTTTTTTTTTTACTTTTTTTAGAAAATGAAAACACTGCTGAAGTGTCTGAGGTCAATGTTATTGTGTGACCTCATAACGGTTTCTGGGAGCGCAACCAAGATCTTTCCATGGAATGGGGACGTGGAATATTCTCGGTTACAAATTGCCGCGCGCATCACGTGAACTGGTTTATACTGCTGCCCTACCTTTATATCAGCGGGTTCGTGATCATACGGCGACTGAAGACCGGCATATGTGTCTAGAAGTGAAAAAGATTGGTGCTGTGCAGATTCAAATATAACCCACCAAAAATTGATACAGATATACCTCAAGGTCTTGTGAGGTGGAGTTAAGCTTGGAGACACATTTGCCTGATGGTTTGCGAGCTGATCAAACGGGGGAAGGGAGGGACAACAATGAGCCAGGGCGCTTCATGGTACAGAAAGCTCCCACAACTCATTCGACTTATTCAACTACAACAATTAGAAAAGAGAAACTTGGAAAAGCAAAGACAAAAAAACGTAAATAAAATCACACACACACTTAGTTTACAATCACATGACATTATTATTATTTTTTTTAACAGATTGTGGTTTATATGACCTTTCACACCTAACTTACAAAAATACGCGCTGCAAAGTAAAAAAATAATTAATGTTTTTCTGTCTGATTCATAAGTCATACATTCGCATTTGATGTATACAAAAATACCTGTAAAAATATTCTCTGATTGACTAAAACTACCGTCTGTCACGGTTACTGCAGCTATACGCCCTAACCCTTATGTCTAATACCTAACACTGTTCTATCTCAAGGTCTACTCATGAGCCGGCTAAGGAAAGCTAGCCACAGTTATTACCAGTTCTTTGAGTAACAGAACACAAGCAGCACCACTTTCTCAGCAATTGTCCGTCCTGTGAGTTAAAAGAAATCAGCAAAAAGTAACAGCAAAAATGATTTTCCAACCTTTACATCTGTTACTTAGTTGAAAGGGATTCCTATACTCTAGGTTAACTATTTCTGGTTCTATGAGTGCCCCTTGAAAAGACGTCCCTACCTAGACAAATCACTGAATTCATGTATCAACACATTGAGGATTCGAAAGTGGTTGGCATCAAGGATCAAGATCTCCGCCAGAAATCCTCACCTACAAAGTTTCCTACAGTTATAAAAAGATATCTTTTTAAGCCTAACTACATGTAATTAAGTTATAATTGAATTTTCTGAAAACCAGTTAACTGATTCGTACTAATTTGTTTAAAGGACTATTCCAATATGGACGAAGTATTACGAAAACTTTATCTCGTTATTACAACGACTTAAATGATTCCAATCCAGTTATTTCCATTCACCACCTCAAGAGCGATTTTGTCTTGGGTGGAATCTAACCGTCGGAGGAATGTGTTATAAACAGTGACAAGCAGATTTATCGGAACAACGACGAGGTCGATATCAAAACAGCCTTACACTTAGTGCACTGTTTTCTAAATCGTAGGGAATACAGACACTCCTCAACTTTATACTGTAGTAAGAACAAGACGTTCATACAAAATCCGCAAAAAACAGATTTAAAACTGAAAAAAGATTACATCCAATTCAGGACAAATGCCAAATCTTTGGTCTGTCACGCAACGCTCTCCAGAATGGAAACTAGCGCGATGTTCCCAAAAAGCAATTGGTAGTATAAAACCTAAATGGAACCTTCAACCTAGGCCAGTGCTTCAATTTAAAAAAATGACTCTGAGTACAATAATTATCTAAAAAGTAGGCTCGTATTAAAAACAAGAAAAAAGATGATGAAGGAAACCAGAACCCTTGAGATTATGCAAAAGTAAAAGAAGAAACATATGCCCGAGTTATACTGTAGATTAACAGGAAACTTGAGAATCGGGTGACAAAGATAGGAGTAAGGAATTATACCAAAAAATACAACAAAACTGTAAGCTTATGTTGCCTATTAATATAACTACTAAAACTAAGACCACGTTCTCTGGTTTGTCGAGTTCGCCAACAATGGGCAAGGACCAGGGCGATAGCTGAACGAACGAAACCCCGTGAGGAAAGATCGTCCAGTTTTCGCAAGGTCGCTACAAGAGCGCACTTCGGGCGTGTCAAAGAAATTTTAACGACCAATCACAGCAAAAGTGAAAACCAGGAGGAAGAATTTAAAAAAATAACACGAGTAAACTGTGAAGCGCGGGAAAACGCATGTGATTAAGTCGTAATTTGTTTTGGTTTTGCTTCTGGTTCAGAACGTGCACGTGGCACGTGTTTTTTCTAAGCCAAACACACAATGTTGTAAAGAAACCCAAAGCAGTTCCGGATTACACTCGACACTCTACTGAAAACTGCTATGACTCGCACGCCCGCTATCATCTTTCTTTAGCACTAAAATGAGAAGCTTCTCAAAATGTTATGGGCCCAAAGTTTGTACCAAACGATTAACTTTCCTATGAACCAACATTATTTTTAAGCCAGGTTGTGATAATTTCTTCGTATTTCTTTAGCCACTCGATGTTTGCTTGTGTACGCTCGATGGCCTGTTTACGAGCATTCTCGCTTGTACCTGCCTCAGAACGGTCAAAGAATGCCTTCATCTGCAAGGAATTTTAAAAACACTATTATTGATAACTCGCCAATCAGCCCTATTTTTAATATATCTATCAACGAATTGACTGCCATTCAAAACTTAGTGCTAATCAGATATATTTCGTGCTTTGAACGACATTCACTAAATAAGGCACAGGGACTGATAGAGAACTTTCTAAATTCATCTAGAAAAATATCACAACTGAACACTTCAAAAGGTCAGTCAACATATTTTAAGTCCTGGTGCTTGTAATATTTCCCATTTCAGGGACAGTTTACTGAAACAGAGCTGGTGGATTAGGGAATTCAGACCGAGTATTCATATGAAAATATGTCAAACCTGTTCCAGATCAGCCTCGGTACTAAACTGAGTCACACTGTTGGTGAGGCTCGTCAAACGGAAGGTACTAGTACTGAACCTGCAAAAAATTCGAAATGGCTCTAAGAAATGGATGGGAGACACCAAGGCCTTACGATCAGCGCTGAACTTCGGTCTGGACTCCGATTTGAGAGGTCTTGTCGGATTACCGCGATGATTCATGATGTGTTCTTGGACGAGACGCGTCACTCTCACGTTACCTCTCCCTAACCAGGAGTACAAATGGGTACCAAGGAACTGTCGGAAAAGCCTGACGAGATGCTGCGAGGAGGGGAGGAGGGGAGGGGGTTTGTGGTATAACCTACAATGGCTGCCATCCCACCAAGAGGTAGCAGTACTCCTTGTCACCACAAGTGAGGAAATCTGTTGTGTCAACCTTCCTGTGTGTCATTTAATGAGCCTTATAGAGAAGAGCGTTCAACTAAAATGGAACTTTAAAATAATCGACTATAGGTAGATCAAAACAAAAGAGTTACCAATAAACCTAGAGCGAACAAGGATGGTTGCAAATGGCGTAAAGACTAACGGACCAACCCCACTTCAAAGACCGCTCTTCAAAACATTATGTTGTTCCTCTTTACATTTTGTCATTTATAGTTTTTTGAAGCATATAATGCAACAGATTACGAATAGATGCTTACATGTCAAACAAAACCTTCCAATTGTTTTGAACGAAAGTCCAGGCCAGGTATTTTCCAACAGGATTGGAGGCAACGTAACTGATAACACTGACAGCGTCCTGGGAACGAATCTTGGACGAATCCAGAGAGTATCCTAAATACCTGGTGATTAACACAAAAAAACCTCAATACGAAACACGAAAATTTTCATCAATAGTAGTCCATATGCTTGCATATCCTTGAGAATTAGTTGAGAGAATTTAGTGCAATATTATGTAAACAATGTCTTATTGATAGGCTTATCTTTTGTCATAACCTGTTTGAGGGATATCATTTGTTGATACTGTTATTGTTTAATACTTCTGTGAGTTACGAGGTTAAAGTGAGTAATAAGGTGAGTAGTCTAGGAACTTACGTGTTCAGGATCCAAGTCTCACGTGATGCAGCCAGTGCGTACATAAGTTTACTCTTCTCGGATGCTTCTGTAGTGTTCAGGAATTTTTCGTATAACCAGTTCCACTCCTCTTCACCAGTGTTACTGATGCCATAGTAGTAAACCAGGGTTCGGAGGTCTACATCTATTTCAGACCTGTTTAAGAAAAGGGTGTTTCTATACTGTTCGTAATAAAAGAATTGAATAACCATACAGAATTAACAACATCAATTTTTAAAAGACCTTCGTTAATCACCAGATAGCGGCGAATTTATGGAAAGTACTTAAGGAGTAAAGAGAAAAGGCTCCAGCCCTTTCCTACAATTAAGTGCCCATTGGTCTTATGAAGATTTCATACCAAGTGTACGGACATGCGGTCACGTGATAACCACATTTTTCGGGACCTATCGGATACCATATTTTCTTGCGTATGTAGGCTCAGCTTCCCGCTTCGCGCAGAAGCATTAATAATAACCTTACTTTGGAAGACAGCAGCTGCCTCAACCTGAAAAGCTGTATCATAAATTCATAACATGATCATTCTTTACCTTTTACCACTTTTCCATTCTTTAAAAATCTGAGTTGCATTTTCAATACAGTCTGAATCCCCTGCGCTGCACGCTGCTCCTAAGATGGCGCTTCGAAGGTATCTGAAGAAAACAAAAACAGAAAAATAAGCCTCATACTGCACAAAGAATGGCTAGCAATCAATCTGGACAGATCTTTTCACTAACCGTTTAATGTGATTATCATCTTGCTTGTTTTCCCAACCGAGTTGATCTGCAAGAGCTTTGACTTTACTTCTTATCAGTCTCTGCAAATATTAGATGAATCAAGAACATTGACGTGGAACAACAGGAAACACTTTACAAGCAGGCCAGTTCAATTGATGACATTTCATTGCCATTAAATCTTACCAAAAATTATCAAAATCAATAAGAATCAAAGCTAATGATGGTTTTTTCAGTGTAATTGCTGCTGTGATTATAGAGATGCGCATTGATTGATTGGTTAAGGATTGGCGTCATATCTCGCCATAATCACCTCGTGCGAGGTGACTATAGCCGGGGCACTAAATTTCCAATGGCTGCCTCGCGTCTTGTCAATGTTACACAGGATGTGATAAACGTGATAAAAGAAAATAAAATTCTGCACTAAAGATGCTGCTAAGTTTGGCGTATCGCAAACGAAAGATATGACGTCTCTGGTTTATTTTGTTTAATTAACTTGTTGAATTCCCCTGGAAACTGGTTGCTTACCTCGATACAAGTTATCAAAACAAATGTAACAGAATGGAATCAACAACAAAAAGAATTTATAACAGAATAAGAAAGCACCTGAGCAATTATACAAAAAAAATTATTTGCCTCAAGTTTAATGGACATTTGTGAATAATCCCCAACACGATCATTCAACAATTCTGATTTCTCCTTCAGCCAATAATTTTTTTTTATCAAAGTAAGCCTTTGTGTTCTTACAATTCTCCAATAGGTGGTTAAGGTACAAACCTGGAAGTTTCCATTTGCTGGTCGGTCACTCAGAATGTGTTCCAGGAATCCCAAACTGTTCAATGCAGTCTTCCAAGGAACATACTTAGTTTCTTTACCCAAGTAATTCAAGGTGCCCAGAGCAATGTCATATTTCAAGTATCCAGCCCTGATATAGATGATATACAATAACAGAGTTAGTTCAGCATATGGAAAAAGAAAAGAGAAAAAGATAACTGTGTATTTTGCATTGTAATGTACAAAATATTAGGAAACTCATAATGATTAAAGAATTGCAAAAAGCCCACAAATACAATTTGATCTTCCACTATGCTTGAGTTAGGTCCAGTAGATCAAACAGTGTCTCTGTGCTCTCCTGTGCAATCACAGGAAACCCAGCCTTACCTTTTAAGCACCTTACTGTTTTATCGTCCTAAATATTAACTAAAAGAGGTATAATAGCATAAATTACATAGAGGCTCTAGAGTTAATTATGCAATATTTGCCAGTGCCAGGCCCATTACATCAAGATTGGTGAAATGTTATCACAACAAGTAGTTAAGAAGAGCCTTAATTTATAGAGGGTAACACTAATATTAGATTCTGTTGTAATTCCACACAAGACTAATAAAAATATTTGACTTGAACAAATGTTTTTATTAAAACCAATTACTTACTTAAAGTTTCATGGGAAAAAATTTGGAATAATGAATTGGCATGTGATAAAATAAAGCCACACTGATTTTAACTGTTTTATGCTATAATTTCAAGTTCTAAGGCTTAAGCTTTATCATCTCCTATAATAAAAATGTAAACATTGAGTGTCAAATAAAGCATAAAGTGCAGCTGGAGAAGTTCCAGTACCTGGCCAAATTAAAGGCATCATCAATTAAACTTGATCTGTCCTCAGTAGTAAAAACCTGTAAGCCAGAAAAGTTTTCAAAATAATTAAAAATTGAAAAAAAGGTGAATTAAATGTATGAAAAATTAAGTTAATAAAAAGGCTCAGAAGAGGAAATACCAGTAGTTCTTTTCTATTGACAAAATAGAGGATTGTTGAAATATCACCCCATTTTGTGTCTTAAAGTTGAAACTGATAGAAATTAGTATTGCATTTTGTAACAATAGACTGAGACTTTGTAACTTGATCAGTGGGCCAAAATGAAAATGGAGAGAATGAGACTCCTTATTTAATACTTACTGTATGGTCATTTTCTAGTTGCTGAACGAGTGCTTGCCAGTTGTCGTCATCATAATGCACTCTGTAGTAACCCACTTGTTTAAAGTTACCTTTGATCCATTTGTTTTTAGGCCATGTGAACTCAACTAAAAAAATAAGAATTTTTGTTTGATTGTTTTGTAAATTAAAAAAACTCAGGGAATAAATTTCCATAAAATTTTACATCAAAAATCTGTAAATAATTTGTTACTTAGCACTTTATATCAAATCAGGTGATCATTAAAAGTAATTAAGTACCAGGTAATTTAACATACATAATGAATAACTGAATATTGAATATATCCTTTTTTCATTTTTAATTTTCTGTAGCAAATCAAAATGCAATAGACCATGATATTCCCAGTACTATATCAACAAAATCAGTCTTACAATATCAGGAGACTTGGAGTTCACTTGAAAGGAAACAAATATTATGCTAAATAACCTGAATCAGATGAAATGTTCATCCATTTTGTTTTAGGATCTTGGGATGCATCTTGAAACACATAAGTCAGAGGTACGTGCCACTTGTAGCTGATGAAAAAGAAAACAAACCATGCAAAAGCAATCTAGCAAACAACATTTGCAATGAATTTAAAAACAAAGGAGGGGTATGACTTTGTTATTTATCTATGATCGTACAAGTCTATTTAGCAATCTATGAAGACCCATGTCTGCTGCTCCTCTCAAACCAGTACCACTCTCCATTAATGGGAAAGAGGATAATGAAGAGATAGTAGTTACCAATGTAGGTAATAAACAGAACAAAGACAACAACAACTGAAGTAGCTCACTTGAATTGAGATGTTACAGTCACATTTGTGTTGGGATCCAACAGGAAATGTTTTTGTGTAGCTTTTGCCTTGTCTGTGCTACCAATGCGCGTGATTGTCACCACAGGAAATCCCATTTGCAATGTCCAAGTATCCATGATAGTTTTAACATCCATGTTGGCTTTCTAACAAATTTCAATTAAAAAAATAAAAAAACACACTAAATCAAAAATAAAACAGAACAAAAATTAAAAAATCTCACACTTTTTACATGCTTAAATAATTAAGGTAGAAATGTCAGGTGTCTATCATCAAACCAAATAAGAATGGTTTTTTTTGGGCAACTTCTTGATTAGAAATATTCTATTTGTTGTTATTGGCTACCCTGACAGAATTTACATTCCAAACATGTTTCAGTTAATCAGTATGTAACAGGAAATCTCAAACAATAAAAGCAGAAATAATAATTGTTTCAGAAGCAGTGATTCAACAACTAAAAATTTACCACAGCTTGCACTATTTATACCACCCAATCAATAAAATGTAAATAAGATGTTTATAATATACCTCTCCTAACGCATTCCAAAGGTCCTGAGTTTCAGCATTCTTGTATGCATACTTTCTCAAGTAATACTATAAACAAAAATTAGATCAGTTCAGTTATTTACAAACAGTTAAACATAATAACTATAAATCACATCTGTTGATAAAGTACATACAATTAGCAGTTACAACACTAAGTCTTAACCCTTTAACTCCCAGTTCAAATTTGTAATTCTCCTTACTGTCAACTATACAATTCTTATGATGTTTGTTCTAAGAATTAAGTATTGGATCAACTAATTATCCCCAAATTTATATTTTTCTTTATTCCCATCACTTATCTGATTGATATTGTATTGATATTGTTAGGAGAAATTCTTCTTTGGTCACTCATGAGAATTAAAGGGTTAACCTATTGACCCCAAAGAGTGACTAGCATCTAGAGTTATTTCAACTTTGCTAGAAGGGGAAGAAAACCAAAATATGAAAAGAAAAAGTTATAGGCTCAATATCAGTATCTGGGCAACTGCCCACCTACCCCTCCCCTAACCCAACAACAGTCTATAGATAACAAGTTAGGGTTAATGTTGGGTTAGGGGAGGGGTAGGTGGGCAGTTGCCCATATAGTGATATTGATCCAAGTTATGTATTCTGTGTCTTTGGTAACATATGAAGAACAGTTTGGAACACTCAAAATAAAAATTCCATATCTATGTGCACCCATGTATTATTCTCTATTTATCACCGTATTCTGTAATATATAATTATATTACACTTACACTGAGACCCTCTTTAAATTTCTCTTTTCCAACAAACCCTTCCAACATCCGAATAATAGAGGCACCCTGAAAATAAGATTGATACATCTCTTAATACTAGGTCAAGTTTCTGACTTCCATTTTAAAAAAACATTAATTAGCCCCTCAAAGTCTCCTTAATAGATCTACAGACTATTTAATACCAACCACCATGTACACTGTTAGCTCTGAAAACATCTCTGAGAGGTAAATTTTTTTAGTTGTTATAAGCATGTCTAGCATTCACAATTACAATTCAATAGAGTCTAAAGAACAATTATAATAAATTTATCATCAAAACAGCAAAAGTAAATGATAATTTAAATTAAAATAAACTACTAAAAGAGTCATTTGCTGATTCTAACCTTGCTGTAGGAAATCCTATCAAATAACTGTTTGATTTTCTTGGGGTGGTCAACTTCAACTGATATAGGGTGAGAGCTTGCCAAAGCATCAAGAGGAAAAACCCTCTGGAGATCTGACAATAGGAACTGCTCCATCTGCAGAGAGATAAGTTTTAAAATACCAACCATAATTAGTCACTACAACCTCAATTCCTATTATTCTGATGCTTCATAAATATCTGTGGGAGTTGTATATTTGTAAATCACCTGGATTGCAGTTATTCCAGAGTTAATTAAAACTATAACAAAATTCTTGAATGTGATTGGTATGTGTGCCTCATGTAATTGGAAAGCATCATAGGACAATTGACATGTCATGCCTGCATGTGTAAGTGAACTGCAGTGCGCATCATGTGTGGGCACTTTTGTTGCATATTTTATGAAAGCGTACAATCAATGTCTCATTTCTTTCTCACAGTTTTGTTTAATTTGTAACAGAACTTTGTTTCATTCAATTCTGTCTGTAATTGTACTCTTGATTAACAAATTGGGCAACCACGAAGCGGTTGTCCGATTTTGTTTATGAAGAGAATGATTACAGACTGAATTGGACTCCCCTCAATCTTATTACCATTATTAAGAACTTAACAGGTGTGCTTATAGAGTCTCACTTGAATGTGGAATTCTGTTGTCAAGGCATAAATAAATTACTGAGTCAATCAATCCATTAATCAGTCCATCAGCCAGACAATCAGTCAATTGGTCATTGGATCATTCAATCTCACAGTCAGTCACTTGGACCATCTGTCAGTAAGTCAATCAGTGAGTCACTCAATCCCTTAGCCAGTCGTTTAGTTGGTCAGTCTGTCAGTCAGTCAGTCAGTCTGCCAGATCATCAAACAGTATTTGTCAAGTCAGTCAGTTGGGGAGTCAGTTGGTCACCAACTCAACATTTCATTCGATAATTAGGTATGAAACAATTACTTTTAACAGAGGCTACTGACAACAAAGTGCACCATGAATAATTTGCTACTTGCAGAGTAACAGTGATAAATCCTTACCATTTCCCAGTCTGGGTGGGTATGGTTGACACCTAAGTATTCTACAAAACTGGCAAATCCCTCATTTAACCACAAGTCATTCCACCACTTGGGAGACACGATGTTCCCAAACCACTGAAAAAAACAAGATATTCTTTAAAGATTAGTCATGTTGTTGCACTATCATAGGAACTGTTTAATACTCTCACCTTGAATGGCATAACTGTGTCAACATTAGGCCATAAAAGATAAATTTGATTCAAAATGAATTCATTGAAAACAGGGTGTGCCATCAATTCCAAAATTATTATCAAATGTAACAAGTAGATGTTGTAAGACTCAAAGGCAGAAAATTAACTGAACAGTTCCATGTGATTTTCCCCTCATACCTGATGTGCTAGTTCATGAGAAACCACCACAGCGACTCTTTGTTTGTTGGCCTCAGAAGACACACCCTCATTGAAGAGCAGAGCTGTCTCACGATAAGTGATTAATCCCCAATTTTCCATGGCTCCAGATGAAAAATCTGGTATGGCTATCATGTCTGAAAATAAATTTGCTAGGACTTGATCTTAAGCTCAGGTGCAAACTCTTAGTTAACATATGCTCAACCACTATTTGAGTGAACAATCACCACAAAATGCCTTTGCTGTAGAAGAATCATTTCAAATGCCTAAAGAATAAAACTAGTAAACAAATTCATTGCCCCAAGTAAAATTGCCCCTTTATCTGAGTAACCTTGCCCTAGTGTGGTCATGTTGCCACATACTGGATTGACTGGTTAAAAACAGATTTTCAACCAAAAATGTCACTCCTGTTATCTTTTTCTCATATTGCAGTCAATTTGATCTTCTGTCTAGGGCATTTGAAATCAGAGGGGACATACAGGTAGCTACACTGAGAGGTGAGGTCACTCAGCTTGATTTCACGCAACATAACTTGGGATGACATGACGACGGACTTATATAAACAGTCACATCAATAAAGAATCTTGTTTATTGAAACTCTTATTAACTATTATGTTATAATTAAATATCTCTGTAGAGCTAAAACAGACAAACACAAACCTTGTTTAGGAAGAGGATAACCAAGGTTATAATACTCCTCATAGTATGTGATGATACCATTTCCAACATCCAGTGCAAATTTTGTTTGGTTCACTTGGGCTGGTGTTGTCCACACTCTGAGCTGTTGTAAAGTTTGAAAGTTAGTAGGCTGTTTTTTGAAAAAGTACTGTACCCTTCTCATGTTTCAGTCATATTCCCAAAAGGAGAATGCATTTTGCAAATGCAGCACCTACCTGGAATTTGATAGTGAAGTCTGATCATCAAAGGCAGTGCTCATTTGAGGGCTTAGTATTGATTGTATTGACTTTTCTGGGACAAGACATTTAAGGTTTTATAGCTGGTCTACCGATCCTAAATTTGCAATTTTAATAAATGTTAAACAAATGACTCACTGTGATGTTCTTATGCTGTCCGGTGGTTGCATTTGTGAACTTGAAGTCACATACAATAAATGCCAGTAAATATGTCGACATTGGGACTGACTTCATGAAATGTGATCTTATTCTCCCATTTGCCAGCTGCTGTTGTTTAACCACTGGCATATTTGACAATGCTCTGTAGTCTTTCTCGTGAACAATCACAGTGGAAAATGTTGCTTTCATGGCAGGCTCATCAAAACATGGTAAGGCTTTGCGTGCATCAGTTGGCTCAAATTTTGTGGTTGCAAGACGTCTGAACAATGAAAAGCACACACTTCGTTTTATAATCATGCTGGTACATTAATGCATGATATATCAAAATACCATTTTATTGTAAAAACCCAACTGCCCAGTACTGCTAAATATTGTGGATTAAAACAATTAAATCTAGCACCAAAGAACCTGTCACAAACCGGTGAATGCTTAAAAAAGAATCATCTGTCAGAGTATTGAAACAATGAAAATTTCTGTAAATACTTTCCCACTTATAATTTTGTTACATTGTAAGTTTCAAACTGGGAAGAGATGTTCAAAGATTGAAGGAGGATATAGTACCAGGTTTGGTATTTGTGTCATGTGTGCTTTGCTTGACCAAAACTTAAGTAACTGGCTTTTAACGTGTCATCAAAAGGTGCCATCTTAAATCTAATGTTTGAGATTTTGAAATAATTAACATTAAAACAAGGGTTTTCCACTTGTAATTAACAGACATATAATTTTTACTTCAAAAACTTCATTGAATATCAAAAAGAGAAAAAGGTAAAAGTAATTTGCTATGATAAGGAAGTGAGGACATCTTTATGTATTGCACATCTTGTTATTACAAGACACAATATTTCAATAAAATATCATAATAACCTTTGACCAAAGATTTCCTTCACAGTAGATCACCAGAAAATGATTACATTGAGTCCAGGAGAGATTCATCTATGGCCTTCCTCATTTAGGCAAACATTATCATGATTAATGATAATAATTAACATTTATTGAAGTATCACTAAATTTTGTGTCAATTATTATCTAGAGTCATCAAATTTTGTATCAAAAGATGACTTGACTAATAAACTGAAATTCATAATTCACAGCAAATGTTAACAAAGACATACCATTTAACATAAAACTATCTTAAGTTCCAAATATTAGTAGGCATTAATGCTTCATAAATACATAATAATATGTACTAAATAATTATCCAAAAGTGCTTCTGATAGAAATTTGAAGTTTTCATTGTTCACAGTTTACCACACTCATAAAACTAAATCAAGGATTTTCAAATTCATTTCCAGCCAGTGTAGTGGAATACTCAGTTAACATTACCTGTCACACAAAACAACCCACCTCTGTTCGCCTTTTTCATTCGTGTATGTACTTATGTACAAACCATTCAACTGACTGGAAAATGTCGATTTATAGGACATCAGCAGTACATACTGTCCACCAACTTCAAGATCTTTCTCCAGTTCGAACACAAAGTAATCGTTTTCTGAATATTCAAAGGTCTTCGAAGGGATTTCTTCTCCTAGGGAGGTAGTGTTGGATGTCACGTTTGAATCGCGTTTGTAAACTTTAGCGTGAGTCACGTTCATGTCATTGATATGAATCAAAATGTAGGACATGACATCGGATTTTTCCGTGACGTTTATTAAGACCGACACGTTTCCTTTAAAAGTGTTTAGCTCCAAGTAGGGATCTAAGTAGACACTGTAGTGAACTGGACGAATATTTTGCGGTAATCGGATGTTCTTCCACGGCTTCACAGGCTGTGAAGGTGTCACCGCTGTCGCGTTTGATATTGGCCCGGACGCGTTGGTAGATGCGTTCGTGGGTGCTGCTGTTGATGTAGAAACCTCAGTCCCTGCAGTTACTCCAGGTTCTTCTGTAGGTGCTGGCCTTTTACCTGGTGCTTTACCTCCCTTCGAGCTTTGATTTTCATCCAGAGCCTCAATTCTTGCCCGACGGGCGCTAAAAACACCCGAAATCACTGCGAAAAATATTATCAAGACAATCACAAATACAACCAACCCGATCGCTTTCGATCGCGTGATAACAAACTCTTGCTCCTTTTTCTCATCTTCGCCATCCTCTTCGAGTTTCAATTGAAATTCATCGTCTGACATCCTGTTTTTGGTCCTTTTTGTCTTGGAAGAACAAATCGGCTCGAAAACGACCTCGACACAAGCCGCTCTACACCTGTTCTTGAGTTAGACAACACTCCCAGGAAGCAAGACTCTAGCTAGCAGTTGTAGCACTGGATATTCCGGCTTCTGGTTCCCTTCTAATCCGCTCCAGCAAATTAGACGGAAGACGAAATTCTCCAGGGAGTTGGGTTTCTCCTGTTTACGTATATATCAAGAATCTAAACAATGTGCTGATCGAAGCTTTTTAACTAACGGCACGCATGACGATGAAATATTGTTTACTAGTAATAGCTAAAGGACTGGAACTGGTTTTGTTAGTTCGGTTTATCCAACGATGAAACTACTGAAACTAGTCTCTTTGGAAAATCTGACATCAAATGTTTGACACGGGATCGGATAGTATGGTCGAGGAGACTCGAACTTTTGCAGCTATCTCGTACGAAGAAAACGGTTGAACTAAGAAGCAAAAGTGAAAGGGATTTTAATGAGGAAAAAATTATTTCCTCGCTTCTGTTGATGTGTCTACGGTATGACGGCTGTTGACTCTCTTTGTTGCTTAGCGATCGATTAAGGTGGTGTTGGTTCCTCCGCTTTTTTCGTCATGAAACAACCAGAAAACCAGACAAGCGGCGAAAAAATTGCACGAACGACGCAAAAAAGATTTTATTTTATTTTTTCTTTAATTAAAATCCCTTTGGTTTCTATTCAGAACTACTTCGAAACAAATCCTCTCATGTCTACTGTTGTGTAATTAAAATGTAGTATGTGTATTCTTGTCTAAATAAGTATTCGTATATGGAGTTTGGGAGACCCGAGATATGAATAGATCACCGATTGAGCAATCCCTTGCGTCGGTGGTTCATGACAGACGATTTGAACAAGGAACACATCGTCTTGCAGAGCTAACGCTTTATCCGATGGAATGCTGCTAGAGACAAGTCTGTCCTAAAACTCCCCACATTGTCAGTCAACTGGCCAACTTTAGAACTGGGTTCTTCGTTTTCGAGGGCAAAAAGAACATCGAGAGCTGGCTATTCTGGTTCCGACTTCACTGAGAGGAAGAGTTCCCCTCGTCCGGAAAGTTGCTGCGTGACATGGTCTGACGACCCTTAAATTTCATCTCAATCAGAGTAAAAGTAATGATTTACGACTTTCAGATGTACAGTGCTCATCGATGTGCACACGTTTTCCCATTTTTCCGATTTGAAAAGTTCGGGCTCGATAACACAAGCTGGACACGTGCTCCAGTTGTAGAAACACTCCAAAATTCGTTAAATTGCAGAAACAGTCGCCGATCAATCGAATTTTTTAAAATAAACTAACGGCGGCCTCCTTGAAATAAATTAATGCATGAATGAATTAACCTGCCAAGAAGCCGCGTTTTCGGCCAAACCCCATCCCCAATTGTGGCGATCGCTCATCTTTTTTTACGTCCAGTTCTTTAAGGTTTTGTACTTTAATAATCAATTTATAATGAGAGAAACTAAAAGGCTGAGGATTGTAATTCCGATTGATTTTTCGTTCTTCTTTCAGTTGGATTCGATGTATTACGGCCTGATTTTTCGGTTAAGAAAGATGAGTGTGTGGTTTACTTAGACCATGTGAAGGGCATGTCACACACTTCTCGTCCAGTTTGTGGCGAGTCCTACAATGTTTCCTTAAAAGGCTGTAAATTCATCATGGAATTAATCCCTTAACTTAATAACAAGATAGAATGATAATCTCTCTCTTAATTTTTTATATATTATCTTGTTTTGAGACGAATAGCAGGACTTTTGATTCACGCTCTAGATCTCAAACCCTTATGTTCCAAAATGATTTCTATACATTTCTCTGGCGCATAGTGCAATAAAAGAATTTTATGATTTTCCGTCTCCTGTCTGCTTGTATGTCTACTTAAAATTTCATGGATACTAATGGGATCTGAAGAGTTATAAATTATAAACTACCTGTCATGTGAAAACTAAACTCACCTCTGTTCGCCTTTTTCGTTCGTGTATGTACTTATGTACAGGCCATTTAACTGACTGGAAAATGTCGATTTATAATCCATAACCAAAACATACAGGCCACCAGCTTCAAGGTCTTTCTTCAGTTCAAACACAAAATAATCATTTTTCGGATATTCGAAAGTCTCCGAGGGAATTTCTTCTCCTGGGGCAGCGGCGTGGGGCTCCGCGTTCGGATCGCGTTTGTGAACTTTGGCGCTAGTCACGTTCATGTCATTGATATGTATCAGCATATAAGACATGTACTCAGATTCTTTCGTGACTTCAACCAACACTTTGACTTTTCCGTCAAAAGTGTTTTTTTCCAAAGACGGATTTAAGTACAGATCATAGTGAATTGGTCGAATGTTTTGCGGCAGTCGGATTTGATACCACGGCTCAGGTCCAGTTGGTTCCTCGGTGGGTTTCACCTCGGATGTAGGGCCTTGCCCGGTCGCTCTGACTGGCTTCTCAGTTGTCATCTCTGCCAGCGCGTCCTTTCTTGCTTTTCTTGCGCTTAATACGCCCGACATTACCCCGACAAAGATGATCAATAAGATTACAATAACTACTAAAACGATTGCTTTCGTTCGCGAGATAACAAAACCTTCTCCCGATGCTCTTTTCTCTTCTCCACTTTCTTTCATTGGAACGCCTTCGTACGACATCTCGCAATCCTTCCGTGTAGGAATCAGGGTAGGTAAACTGCTGTTAGGGGTAGAAGGAGCGCGTCTATCTGATACCTGTGATACGAATACGATACTATTTTATTTGTAAAACACTAAGTGAATAAACAACAGGTTGTCACCATGTCGCTCTCCAGCCAATCCGCGCACGAATCCCTTGAAAGAGCGGTCAAGCTTAAATGACAAAACTTCAGATCCATCCCAGATTAGACTAGATTAGCAACTTCTTGGATAATGCAAATATTTGAACGCCAAAATTAATTCTGATACCGAAATATAACAATTTTAGGGGAGTACAGGGAACAACACCATCATCGTGGTTGACTGATCGAAAAAATTCAACTTTCCAACTGAAAAATATCTTGGGTCTAACACAGACCATTATGCCACTCTGGACATTGTTTTTTTTCCATCATAGCGACATAACAAAGCCGTCTCAGAGGTCAATACTTCAAGGCTTTAGTTGATTGAGGAATTTTGAACGAACAGAAAAGAAACAATCTGGTTGTCATATTGTTCAGTATTAACAGCGGAAATATCGTTGCGCTGGGGATTGTAGATTTAGCTGAACATCAACGTCTAGATCAAACAGCTGCAGAAGGAAATGCATGTAGGCTGGTAGTCTCCTTAGCAAAGTTATTTCGTTCTAGTCACGCACTAAACTTTATATACCACAAATGCAGCACTTTGCGACACAAATAATGTTTGCTTTCGCCTCTGGTGCTTATTCAGAGGTGGCCCGGGTGAATACAATAATAATGGTGCCCGCCCCTCCAAAGGTACATGTCTGGAGAGTGGCAATTGCAGAGACAGATTAGTTTTCGTTTTAATAAAATCCCTCTTCCCTCTAAACTCCTTTGTAGACATTGCTTGGTCACTTCAAACCTAGAAGACAACGGCTGCGGAAGACCCACAATTCGTTTTCACACTCGCGTTCGAATTTTTCTGAGATGCAAATTTTCGTGAAACAATACATATAGCCCGTGTGACTCCCAAGCAATACAATTATCTTTGAGCCAGAACAAACAACCCAAAATGGTTACTGATTAGCAACGGTCACCTCGGGTAAACAAATGTTTCTGACACACAACAGCCAACTTATTTACTGATATAGCAATGAGAAATTTATTATTATTTGACAACAGAGAAAAGCTTGCATTACACAACCCGTAAGAAAAACACACAATGCTGTAAGTGAAACAATCTCAAAGGCCAACAGATTACAGCAACTCTCTTCAAAGCAATCACTTACTGAAACGTAGCCATAATTACCATTTTTTACACTGCATAATATTATACGAAAATCCGTGGACTTTTCAATGTTATCAATTTGTGTTACATTACATACATACAGAATCTCATTGTTATGTAAGTCTCAATTATTTTATCACTAAGTACTGTACAAAATATCAATATCTGTTAATAGCTTTCTTTACCCAGCCCCACCCACCACTGTGACATTCCCATGGGTGAACTTGATCCAACTTGAAATTCTCCTTACCATGTAAATATAATACAAAGAAACCCAAGTGATGATTTGGGAAAAAAAAAAATCAAAATCTTCCCGATTTTGCAACTCATTAAATATTTTTATCACCTCACAAGCAACTACCTAATGACTATAGAAAATAACTTTCTGCTGATGCAATAAGTGAAAGAAATTAATGCAAATAAGTGAATGAATAATCACTTGCCAACCTGAGAAAGGAAAACCAAGTTATTAAAAATGTACATGCTGCACAGGTTGACAAACAAGACTTAGCAAGGTGAATGTTAACTACTACGTGCAATCACTTTCTGTGTGCTGAGAGTACACCAGCTTCACAATCAACTGCAATTGTTATTTTTTTTTTTTAATTTAATTTTTTTGTCTAAAAAATGTTTAGGATTAGAGGGATCGTAGAATAAAATATTGTAGCACAGCCTGACATGAAAGCCTCTGTGAGGGACTTGCTCCTTTCCAAAAGCTCCAAATTTAATAACTAGGTAGAACTGATTTTTTTTTTTGGAAATTCTTGCTTCTAATTGGGAGATGGTGTACTGTGAGCTTCTAGTGGTTGTCTCATTCCCTGGCCATGACTCAGCAAGGTCTACATGCTACCAATGTTCATACTAACTAGTATTCACATTTAAAACCTCTGCTGTGAATGTGTTCACACATAGGAATGCACAATTAATTGACTAACAAATATCAACTTAAGCCTAATGCTACATACAAGCAGTAATGCAGAAGACGTGATAAAGAATATGCAATATGTAAGACTCAAGTTATAGTAACTAAAAAAACCATGTCTATACTAATATGTCCATTGAAAAAAGGAGTTAATACTATTTTTTAAGAGTTAAATGCTTGAGCTGCACAGAGAATGTCCAAAATTAATTCATTGTTTTGTTTTTACACAGCTTACCCACCATTAAGACAGCCTCTACTGCCAATTTTTAGTTTTAAATTCTAGCCATCTATGCAGAAAAAATTCCATAGGAATACTGCAGTTCAAAATTCCTGAAACTAGCTTTTAAGTTCCCTATGCCTTGTCTGCTGACAGATAAAGTCGTTGCAGGAACCTGGCATGTCATATAAGGAGTTATGCAGTGATAATTTTTCTTGTAATAATTTGGAAAAACAAAGAAAGCATTTTTGGAAGAATAACATGATTATATATCATAACTACAAAGAAGAGAGGAAATGCTTAAACCTCCTATAGATACCTGTTACACAAGAAACTGCAACATGGTAGAAGGGTTGAAGAAATTCAAAGCATGCTATGAGATTGTATTTCTCCTGTTTGGTACACAGACACAAAATAAACTGGACTTGGTGATATTTAACAAAAGATTTCTACAATAGTTACATAGAGCAATAATCTTGTAATCAATATTTGTATTACCTTCATTATGTCTCCCACATAAAATCTAAACTTAAGAATAATAGTTAATACCAAGATTCAACCTGTTACATGACATGGCTCTTAAAACTGCTGAGAAAGAATTAAGTATTTTGAAAGGAATTGCTACAGAAAATGAGATATCACAGTTACAGAAATCACTTGACACTGCTTTTGGACTCCACAAACGTGTCACAAGATACATCTCATGCAAGTTACACATTTAAGTTACATTTACTCACATCTAAGGACTGTCTTTTGAGCAATAAAATCAGTTACATTACTAATTAACAAGGCAGCTGATCAAATCCTTTCACTTGAGCATTCTTACTTGAGTTTGCATTAACTTAAATTTTCTGAATCTTTGAGCCAACAACAACAGGATTGTCTTTTGATATCTTGGCCCTGCCATCGGCTTTGTAATCAAAGCTGCAGTCATGTTTATCAGAATATCTGTGAAGGCCACAATAGACATTCCCACATCTGCATTCAAATCCTAACAAAGGAGAAGAAAATTAGTAACAGCAACATCTTAAATAATTTAGCACAAAGAAAAAAAATGTAAATGTTTTACAACAGCTTATGGAAAGCAAAGGTACTGGGATCAATTTTCTTGAACAACAGACATTTTTTTTAACAATTGTTACATCCAAGAGCTCATGCCAAATACTGAATGAGTTTCTTTAATCAGTAATTTAAGCACTAGGATATACCTCTCCTTAGTTTGTTTAACAGAGTTTTAGCAAGCTGTTTTGAGCTTTTGTTTGCGCAAATTTGTCACCCCTTTGTTTGGAATTTTAAGAAGTTTAGGAGTTTTTATTTTAACTAAATGCTGTGGTTCACTAAACAAGTTTAACCCACTTTTTTATGGGGTTTGAACTCTAGCCTCTTTTCCACATATGAATTTTTTACAATTGCTATGGAAAATTAAGGAAAGTTGAAAGAAATTAATCAATAACTTTTTTTTGAGGAATCACCTAAACTGTTTTCTGTTTCCTTCAGCAGAATCTATTAAAAAAACAACATTCATGATATCTTACCGGTTAATCCTACTTTTTTACGACACATAAAACATCTATTTCTTTTGGTTTTAGCTTTGT